TTCCCAGAATATATAAAGAATCCCTACAACTCAGTTATAAAAAGACAACCCAATTTAAAAATGGGCAAAGAACTTGAATAGAGATTTCTACAAAGAAGATATACAAATGGCCAATATCATCATTAGTCATTAGGGAAATGCAAATCAAAACCACAATGAGGTACCACTTCACACCTACTAAGGAACTTACAAAGAAGGTATACAAAAGGCCAATATCATCATTAGTCATTAGGGAAATGCAAATCAAAACCACAATGAGCTACCACTTCACACCTACTAAGGAACTTAAAAAAAAAAAATAAAAAAAAAGATCTATTGTACCTCATGGTGGCTACAGTTAATAACAATATATTGTTTACTTAAAAATGGCTAAGGGGGGGGCCGGCTCGGTGGTGCACTGGATAGTGCGCCGCTTGGGAAGCGCAGCGGCGCTCCCGCCCGAGGGTTCGGATCCCACATACAGACCGGTTCCCGCTCACGAGGCGCAGGGGCAACGCTGAGGGTTGCGGTCCCGTTGCCGGTCCCAGTCCGGTGCGGGGCGACACTGAGGGTTGCCATCCGTTGCCGGACACGAAAAAAGACAAAAAAAAAAAAATGGCTAAGGGTGAGGAGGGGTCAAGATGGTGGAGTAGTCAGTTCCTGGTGTCACTCTCTCCCATGGAGCGACCAATTTGCAGCTTTTGAGGAGCAGCAACAGAGGAATAGAAATCTATGCTGGAACGGACAGGAGCCACCCACCGCGAGATCCCAGTTCAGGTTGCTCCCCATTTCATAGAGAGACTTTAGAGCTTTTGGACCCACACGCCCCGAGCCTGCCGGCCAGAGAAGGCAGATGGGGCCAGGGCGGGACTTCCGGAGCAGGCTGTCCCGTCTCCATGAGTGATCTGAGAGGTACGGGTTCCCAAGCCCTGAGCCAAACAAGCCGGTGAAGGCTGATGGGGTGGGAATTTCGGCCCAGGCCGTCCCATCTCCATGAACGGCCTGAGAGGCTCCAGGATCCTAGGCCCCAGGTCAGATGAGCTAGTGAACGCAAGCAGGGCAGAATTCCAGCTCAGGTCATCCGTCTCCATGAGCGACCTGAGAGGCACAGGCTCACAAGCCCCAAGCCTGACAAGCCAGTGAAGGCAGGTGGGGTGGGACTTCCGGTCCAGGCTAGTTTCTGCTGTCCAGAAGCAGCAGACCCTTCAGGATCCAAGCCAGATATCAGGGTGAAACGAGTGAACAGGGATACCCCCAGCCACAATTACAAAACACCAAAGGAAAGAAACCAGAAATATGAAAAATCAAGAAAGTACATTGCCACCAAAGGAAATTAAAAACAAGTGCTAGATCCTATAGAACAGGAAGTCTTTGAAATGACAGACAAGGAATTTAGAGTAACTATTCTAAGGAAACTAAATGAGATACAAGAAAACTCAATGAAACAACACAATGAAGTGAAAAATAACATACAGGATCTGAAAGTAGAAATGTACAAAGAAATTGATGCCTTGAAAAAGAATGTAGCTGAGCTTGTGGAGCTGAAGGATTCACTCAACAAAATAAAAAATACAAGAGAGAGTTTAACCAGCAGACTTGAATAAGCAGAAGAGAGAATTTCTGACCTCAAAGACAGGCTGTTTGAATTATCACAGGCAGACCAGAAAAAAGAATCAAAAAAATTGAAGAAAATTTAAGAGAGACAACTGACAACCCTAAGCACTCAAATATTCAAATCATGGGTATTCCAGAAGGGGAGGAAAAAGGAAATGGCATTGAAAACATACTCAATGAGATAATAGCAGAAAACTTCCCAGGTATAGGGAAAGTCACAGATCCCCATATTCAGGAAGCCCAAAGATCACCAAACACATTCAACCCAAAAAGGTCCTCTCCAAGACATGTGATAATCAAACTGATAAAAATCACAGACAGAGAGAATCTTAAAAGCTGCAAGAGAGAAGCGGCAAGTCAATTATGAGGGAGCCCCAATCAGAAAAACATCAGACTTTTCATCAGAAACTCTAAAAGCCAGAAAAGAATGGATGATATATTTAAAGCACTAAAGGACAAAAATTGCCAGCCATGAATACTTTACCCAGCAAGGCTATCCTTCCAAAATGAAGGACAAATAGTATATTTCTAAGACAAACAAAAACTGTGGGAGTTCACTACCACATGACCAGCCCTACAAGAAATTCTCAAGGAAGTACTGGGTTTGATACCACAAAAACAACCATCACTACCATCAATACACAAGAAAGAACAATACCTATCAGCAAAACAAAAATGCTAACAAAAGAGAGATAAAATAGTTTATCTATCACCCCAAGAAACCAACAGATACAGAAGACAAACAGAAAATTTGAAAGAAAGGAACAAAATATACTTAAGACATCTAAACAAAAATCAGTATAATGCTAGGAGTAAATCAACACCTTTCAGTAATGACTCTGAATGTAAAGGGACTAAATTCTCCATTCAAAAGACACAGACTGACTGACTGGATTAAAAAGATAGACCCAACAAATATGCTGTCTCCAAGAGACTCACTTGACCTGTAAACACACACATAGACTAAGAGTGAAAGGATGAAAAAAGATATATCATGTAAGTAGAAATGAAAAA